AAAGAAGACTGATGTTGGTCATAAGTCCCTGTTATCTGAAAGATTTGACATGGACTTGAGTTGGGATACAGCTTTGATCAATGCTGCTTAACTGTATCATTACCTGATGGCTCATCTATACATGATAGAATGGAGATCAAATTATGCTGAAAAGTACTTATAAATGTGAGTGCTACTTGTGATGCTACATTGATAAACAAAGCGCCAGCTCTGGATGATGTTATTAGACGTAATTAAGTACAGCACCGAGTCCAGCTGTAACAGTGCAGCTATGACTGTCAGAGCTTTGAACCGCACATACCACACAGTGCTAGGAAAGAGGTTAGCTGTGTAATACACCTCCTTATGTTACCTCCCACCCCAGCAAATCTACTTGATTAATGAGATACTGACATTTTATTAGATTATTGTGCATCACCACTGCCCAAGCACCCTTTAAAATTTCGTATCCTGATTTCTAGGCTTATTGTTTTCTTACAAGTCAGTACTTCTGAGAGCAGGTTGTGCTGTGTTATGGCTGGTTGACTCATAAAATCCCATGGCACGTGAAGATCCAAGCTTATACTTCTTGAATATTTTTCACACCATAATGAAATAAAAATCTTTGGAATAAGCAAGAGACACATGTGCACACTCTAGGATGGTCAGAAGTGGGGTATGGAGTGGCCATGGAGTTGTGGGAGAGCCGTCTTTGTACCTGCTCTGCCTTACAGGGAACGGAATCCCAGACTCCAGGTGAGCATCCTTATTCCCACAATACATCGCCAAGTACCTTAGCTCAGATTATAATGCAGGTTTCACTTCTTTCCTGTCTTCTCCGGACTGGACAGCAGTGCCCCTGTAAAGGCTATTACATATTGCTGTCTATGCTACAGGTAGCCAGTATAGCAGAAGGATGTTGACGCTCCTTCCTCTACTGTTTAGATAAGCAAAAAATGAGCTTGTGACTGTCCTAGTCCTAAAACTGCTTTATTTTGGTTTTAGTTTGAAACTAAGTATCAAACATAACCATTACAACGCGAATGAATGAAGGCGAATTCTCTTTGTCTAACTCTCTACTTAGCAACTCCATTAACAGCTGTCTTTTTTTTTATCAGATTGTGCTTCTAAGGCTAAAGCATGTTGGATGCCTGGAAGCATTTCTGTTTTCAGTGAGAACCTCTGTTAACACGACACAATCCCTTTAAAATGCAGACATGCACTCGGCAAATTTGATAAGCCCTGAGATGAATTTAGATGCACAAAGATGGTGAAGCGGCCTAATCCTTCCTACAGAAGATAATGTTTAAACAAAATTATTTCATTCAGTGAAACACCTGGGCAAGCTTATTTAATATAGTCTTTGCATTTAATTATCCCCACTGAAGGGGCACTTACCATATTTCAAAATATGATCATTTTCTTTTGTATTAATTATTTTAAGATCCTCAAAGGAAACCTGGAGAGAAATAAAAAAAAAAAAAAGGACTCTTAATTAACCTGAGCTACCAGAAGTCATCTTTTTGGAATAGAGAAGCTGGGATATGGGACTGAAAATAAACAGTACTTTAAAAATCAGTCTCTCTGCATGAATAATGAAAAATAGCTGTTCAAAGCTGAAAAGAATCCTGTATGAATGAATTGTTGCTAGGCATTAATATCAGAAAGGCACACTTACATATTAAACTGTCTTTTGGAGAAAAGACAAAAATAGAAAAAATAATTCTGTGAAGAACTCGATATGGTCAAAATTATTGGCAGAAGTCAAGGAAGTGTAAAATTATGATATACCCAGAGAACAATACAGCCTAGAGTCAGCGGCTCCGTTCTTTTCTTCTCTCCTTTTGCTCTTGTGGGGTTAGCATAAACAAAGCTATTCCTTTTGGGAAGAATTTATTCCCCAATATGTTTCTGGCAAGCAATTTTACCAAGAGTGCTCTCACTACACAATGCAATTACCCTCGTATTTGCAAGAGGGAATACTGTATATGAAAATAGGAGACCCTGTTCTTCCCACCACAACTGGAACTGCAGTAGGAACAGGGTTTGGCTGTTTTTATTCTAGATAACAAATTTACAGGCTACAGCAACTAATGCATGAGTAATTAGATCACTGCTTTGTTTGCAGCATCTGTACTACATGAAAGGATATTTGCAACATGGAGTTGCACAGGATGAATGTAATTGTACATATGTATCATCTAAAAGTTGCTTTGGTTGCCTAGGTACAAGCAACAGGGGAATTGTGCCCATTTTAGGCCATTATTTAGTATTGCACTTCTAGGCTTCTCTTGTTTAATCATTTACATGTTACTTTGCTCCTTGAAAGGCTAAATACAGTCTCGCAAAGATCATATTACACGTGCCTTAATCTTTGCAAGCAGCCAGACAGCACCTCATACTTTCAGTAACAGATTTGCCTTGTATATTACTCCCTCTAGGAACTGTATGTTCCACACTCTGTAGGTGTGAAAAGGGATCAAAGCCAGCTTTCCAACAGAAGTACTTTTGCCTTTTATTCTACCAAGCAATTACACAAATTCTAATTTCTAGTCAAAGTGAATTCAGTTACCAGACCATACTACTGCTTCATATAGACAACAAATTAAGCTGTTCTATGCCACTCACAAAACTAATTCAAAGTCAAATCTCCCTGTTCAAGACAGACATTTTTTTCCTTAGTTTTTCAAAAGGCATGAGGTTTATCATAGAATCATAGAATGCTTTGGGATGGAAGGGACCCTTAAAGGTCATCTAGTCCAACCCCCCTGCAATTGGCAGGGACATCTTCAACTAGAACAGGTTGCTCAGAGCCCCATCCAGCCTGGCCTTGAATGTTTCCAAGGATGGGGCATCTGCCACCTCTCTGGGCAACCCGTTCCAGTGTTTCACCACCCTCATTGTGAAAAACTTTTTCCTTGTGTTTAGTCTAAATCTACTCTCTTCTAGTTTAAAACCATTACCCTTTGTCCTGTCACAGCAGGCCTTGCTAAAAAGACTATCCCCATCTTTCTTTTAGGCCCCCTTTAAGTATTGAAAGGCTGCAATAAGGTCTC